GGGCGGGTCGGGCTGTACAGTGTTGAGGTGGGGGGAAAAGCCCCGGGGAGGTTGTGTGAGATGGTGGAAGTTGTCTTTCAGTGAATCGCTGATTCGCTTCCTCGCGCTCTGTCCGCCGCCGCAGAAATGCCGAACATCGTGCTGTTCAGCGGCAGCTCGCACCAGGACCTGTCCCAGCGGGTGGCCGAAAGGCTGGGCCTGGAGCTCGGCAAAGTGGTGACCAAGAAATTCAGTAACCAGGAGACATGGTGAGTTTTGGGGGAGGCAGTGTATCCCGGCAGGGGCGGGCGGGCGGGCGGGCACGGGGCGTCCCCCGGCTGTGTGAGTGTATAGGCCCGAGGGTCTGGGCCCGCACACAGGCCCCACAGCTGGTCGGTTTGTCCTGGGGCAGGGGCCCGGGGTTGAGGGTCCGGCCTGACCTGGGGAAGGGGAATGGAAATGGAAATCCTATCCTCTGTCCCTCTCAAAGCCATGTCAGACCCCAGCATGAACTAGCATCAGTCCTGGGCCATGTGTGAACACTTCCCTGCGTCTTCATGTCAGGTACGCATCTCCTCGCCAATCCCCCTCTCAATTCACCTTCCCGTCTCGGTCGATGCTGACAGCAAGAGAGTTGTCTCTCTCTCTCTCTCTCTCTCACACACACACTCACACACACACACACACTTTTTAACTACCCCCGCCAGCGCTGCTGACGTATTTCAGCCCTTTTGAATAATGTTTTAAAAATTGCTCGAGTTCGCCTTGCGATGGTGAGTTAGGAGAGGTAAGTCAGCCCTGCTTCTTTCCCCTGATCGTCCGGTTGAGAACGTGAAGGGCGCCGCTGAAACGAGCGCATATCCGGATGTGTTTTGCCAAGCAACGTTGTTGATCCATCGCAATGGTGATCAGCGCTCAGAAGTGAATTGCTGGAGAGCGACCGGTGGTAGTGGAACCACGTACAGTACCAGCAAAGTGCCATCACCTCTACACGAAGAAGTGTGGATGAGGGTTGTCATCACTGGGGTGTTGTTTGGACATGAATTAGTTTGTCAATTTTTGTTACCTACTTGTTCAGTCTTCAGGCTGTGCGGTTTGTAACCTATGCACTTTAGAATTCCTTTCCCGAGCGCCCTGCCTCACTCCATGTGTTAAGACCGTACTTAAATAGCGCCTCTTTACCATGTTTTTGGAAAATCTCTCTATAATGAGAAATGAAAGGGTATGATAAAAAATTGTTTAGCCAAGCTTTAATTGGTACATTGACCCACTGTTCGGGTTGTAATTCATTTACCTCATATGGCTAATATAATTAGTGCAGCAAGATAAAATTTAATATTTCAAAATTCATATTACTTACAAACAGTCATTCTGAATGTTTGGAAGAACAATCTTTCATTGTATTTCTAATGTGACTGAAGGAAAACTGTATAATTTAAGATAACAATACCTGGACTTTCAAATTGAGGCATTGATTTCCTAAACTTAACACTACTGGGTTAATAACTTTGCTCATCTGTACTAGAACATTAAGTTTAAAATAAAAGATCCATACAATATGGGTTTTGGGAATTGGTTAAATTAGTCTTTGAAAAGCCTGTGCAGTTTGAACATGACATTCAAGTAAAAGTTGCATAGTGACTTCGGGGAAAGTGATGACAGCAGATTTGATAGGAGTCTTAAAAATCATGAGTAACCTAACAATTAATGCAAGCAATTAGTCCCATTAATAGAAGAGTCAGAAACCAGATGATGCAGCTTTGAAATGATTGGCAAAGGACTCAAAGGTGACTTATAAATTGCTTTTTTTTCCGTTAAGGATCATTATCAATTTTCTCACTGGTTTCTAATTTGAGTATAAGGTTAGGAGCTGAAGTTATGTTAAACTGCTGGAAAAGTGAAATAAGAGATTAATGATTAACCTTCTATTTAAAACTTAGTGATGAGTGTTCAGTGACTTTAAAGAAAGGAACTTGTTGCTGTTAGTGATGTGACTTGTAAACTATAATGCAGCCAGTGTTTGAGACTATAGGTCCCTTTAGTTTTGCAAGGACAGGTTAAGGCTTGTCTGGCATGGATTAAGTTGCCAATTGTTTGCTCACTTCATAGAGTTACATGGATTAGTGAACTTTGTTTAAAATAGCACTGTATGCCCATGTGAAAGCTAATGCTCTTTCAAAATCATGAGACAAACAATGATCTGGGTAAATAGTGATTTGGCATCGATCTTTCCAAAAAAAATGACCTATTGCTACAACTTAACACCCATTATTTTTGTTCTGTGCCTCTATCCAGTTCCTGCCTTAACCCACTTTCTCAAGTCTACGTTTAAACTGGAAGCCATTCCTGAATTTAAATTTTCTTTTGAAAAAGTTCAGTATTGAAAAATCTTACATATAGTGATGTATTATGACCTTCATCTACGTAACTGTAGGCTTTGAGGAATTCTTGGTGGTATTTCTGAAACTTGTGTATATCTGAAAGGGTTTGCTAGTCAGGAGGCACTCTCAGTACGATGTTACTGAACCACAGTTGTGACCATCAGTCTGTCCAATTTGTGCTGCTTCTCGACACTTACAGTCATAAAGGTTACAACATGGAAGGAAGCCTTCTGGCCCATTGTCTGTGCTGGTCATCAAGCGCTTATTTACTCTAGTCCCATTTTCCAGGACTTGGCCCATAGCTATGGCATTTCAAGTGATCATCTAACTTCATAAATGTTGAAATGATTCCCACCTCTACCATCCTTTTCAGGTACACACACACACACCAACCGTTTAATTTTATAATCCTTAATCAGATCCCTTGGCTCCCTCTGCTGTAAGGAAAGCATCCCTAGCCAATGTATTCTTTCCTCACAGCTGAGTTGTTCCATAGGCACATTTTGCTGAATCTGCTCTGCACCCTGTGTAGGGCAATAACATTGTTCCTATCATATAGTGACCAAAACTGAACACAGTATTCCATCTGTGGCTTAACTAATGTCTTATACAGCTCCATAATAACCACCAGATATCCCCATATGCCTTAACATCCTTCTCTACTTGTCCTGTCAGCTTCAAAGATGTGCACACCAAGGTCCCTCTAATCTGTGCTTCTTAGAGTATACCATTCATTGTGAACTCCCTTGCTTTGTTAGTCCTCCTAAAATGCATCACCTTGTGCTTTTCAGGACTAAATTCCATTTGCCTTTCCATTTCTCTTTCAAGCTGTATGTTTTCAGTTCATCATCAAAGCTGGTAATAAAAATGAATAAATAAGTAATTTATTCTGATGGTTTCAAGTAGTATTGAAATAAAACAATTTTGTATACAGTACTCGGAGCAATTGTCACATTTTGTCATGGGAAGATTGGAAATTCTGTTAGAAGTATCCTGATCGGAAGAGTACCAGGTAACTTGAATTTTAGTGTTTAACTAGTGCTTTTGATGTTATAAAATATCACAAGGAAATTATAAAACACAGCATGTGTCCATTATATAATGAGATGATAGCAAATGACTTAAAGCTTGGCCAGAGGTAAATTTCAGAAACACCTTTTAAAGAATGAGAAAGGGGTAGAGATTTTTGGGGAGGGAAATCTGCTTGACGTCCGAGTAGCTAAAGCCGTGGCACCAGTGGAAGAGCATTAAAGAGGCCAGAATTAGATGAGTGCAGATATCTCAGAGATTTGAAAAGGTGAGGCCATTAAGGCATTTGAAAAAAGTTGAGAATTTTAAAAACAAGGCATTACTTAACTAGGAGTCAGTTAGGACAGTAAGTGTAGGCTGACACTTTAGTGCAGACTGAGAGGTACTGTCTTTGAGACAAACTGTTAAGTCAAGATCCTGTCCAACTATTCAAGGCAACTTCCACGATACAATTTAAAAAGAGCAAGGACTGCTCCCAGTTGCATCGTCAGCATTTATCTCTCGACCAAAATCTCCCAACATGTTAACTGATTATTTGTAATTTTGCTATTTGTTGGACCTTGGAAATAAATAGTCCGCTTTTTCTGATTCCATAACACGACAGTGATGGCATTTGCATGGAAGTCGTTGGCTGAGTCCGAGCATCCTGAGGATCTGAAATACGAATCTGAGATTTTATTATCATTTTTTTTTGAGATCTTCTCTTAAAACAATCAAAATTGAGTGAACAATTTCTACTAAATGGCTTTTAAACGTAGTAAGTGAGAATTTAGTTGTTGATCTGTTTTCCTGGGTATTTGGTTATTAGTATGCTGGCATTTAATTTTGACAATTATAATCAGTGGGATTTAATTATGATTAGCATAGTATCATACAAAATTGCAGTAAAGCAGTCTTTTGAAATATGATTATGCACTGATTTTCATATTGACAGAGGGATTTCTTATGTTATTGATTGAAAGTCGATGAATTTCGGTCAAAGTGTGCAAACTAATGCAACTATTTGCTACCAGAGGCTGATTTTGTGAAAACTGAACATTACCAGTTTTTATGACCATAAGGACAGAACATCAATGTGTACAATATTAAACTATCTTCAGTGTTTCAATTTTATTCTGTTCAGGTGTGACCTGTATGTTTTGTAAGCTTTTACTGTAACATGTAAGTAAATTATAATCCATAAATGTTTCTTGTGTTAGCTGCTAAAGTATCATTTGGCATGCGACATGTGTTCAGGCTTTTGTTTCCAACTTCTGTTTAATAGGACTAGTTTTAGTTTCTTTCGCCCAAATGCCCTGAATCACGTAACGTTTGTCTCTTATTATTTGGATAAATGAGATTTACTTTGACTTTTAATTGGTCCAGGATTGTCTGTCTTTATGGAAATCTGACTGATCCACTTGAGAAATGTTCTTTTTATTATTTTGACTCATTGTTATGTTCCACTGGAGGTAAATGTAAATTGAGTATGAATATGTCACTGGAAGCATAAAAATACTGTATAGTCCAACATAGATAGTTCAGCACAAGCAAGTCATTGTTGGTGTTTAAGTTCCACGTGTCTTCTCTCACCCTTTCATCTCATGCTTTCAACAAAACCTTTCAGTCCTTTTTTCCCTCAAGCACTTTGGCTTCTGCTCAACTTAAATGCATCTCTACTGCTCAGACCCATGTCCTCCTATAATAGAAACCCGCAATTCAACCTTCTAACATCTTTTGTAGGCAAATTTTCTCCTGTTATTGCTCTTGGATTTCTTCTATCTCTTTATTCACAGTTTGAATCAGTGTTGTTTATTGTACTGAGAGAGCTATATTCGTGATTATATTTGGTTAAAGCTTTGAAGCAAAATGCAAACAAA